CTCTATCTTCTTGTAATGACATTAAATTAAGGGCATCAACTTGAGCAATGTCAAATAAATCATTTAGTTTTAAACTAAATTCTTCATTTTTTTTTTTGCTTAAGTGTCAGATTTTCTGTATTGCAGTTTTTGTAAATTTCTCCATTCTTGTAATATTTTTGAAGTTTTTTTATGCAATACTGTTCAGCACTGATAGGTAAACGCGCTTTTTGCCAAAAAATACTTACCTCTTTTATTGTCAGTTTAGAGCTTTCAAGTATGCTCAGGTTAACATGACGAATATTAAAAAAAAAACCTATAGTACTTGTCTTATTGACAATTATTTACTACCTATAATTTGGTTTGACGGGAAACCAATCAAAAATATATATGTATCTTTTCGTAAAGTTTTCCGCGAAGCCATTTTAATATTTATTAAAAAAATGTTAAAATATCAAAATTAGTATAAACACTAAAATGTATACGATCTAAAAATGATCATACGGGCGCAGTAGAACTAATGAAAACAATATCCTGAAAAATGTATAGTTAGGACAAATATTAGTAATGGGTTTTGATAAAGACTTTATCGTCTTTTTAGTCATTCTTGTAATAAATTGTGACTTGATGGCTTGATAAAAGTTAATTTAAGATTATACATTGCTGTTATATTTTACGAAAATTACCATGAGTTGAAAAACTACAACTAACATTTACTTTATTTTGTGAGTTTTTAACAACAAAATTATATATATTGACTTTTTATATATAAATAATAAGTAAACCAAAAAATTGTTTAGAGTATAGTTTGTGTAAAATATTATTTTAACAACTTTTGTTCTTACAATTTTGTTGTGAATCCATTATTTCACGCGCTGAACTAAAAAAACAATGAAAAATGTACGGTTATCCAAAATTTTTGAGTTTTCAAACTTTAGGCCTTTTGTGCAACGGGTTAATTTTTTCTGATTTACCTGAAACATTGCGTACCTCATTTTTATATGTATTGGAACTAATTGAGATTGTATAATTTTAGAAAAGTTAAGTTTTTAAAATGATCCCTATTCACTAAAACCACCCTATTATTCAAGCATCACTATTATTACATTAAATTTATTCTATTTTAGCAGAAATGTTTGTTATCAAATAAGTCAATTTTTATTTAATTAACTTCATTTTATCATTCTGTTTTTAAAGGAAGAATGTAAAATTTTAATTTGTTTTTAGTAATATTAAGTCTGCATCATTTAATATCTAATATAAAAATCCACCTCCTTAAAATTTTTAAAAGCTTAGTTTTAATTTTATATAAGTATGCCAAATTTTGTGTCATTCTAATAAATAATTAAGTCGATTAAAAAAGGAAAAAATTTTTTATTCAAGCAAAAAAATATAACTAAAAACCTGCCCAAAAAATGTATGTGATATTATATTTGTTCAAACTTTTATTTAAAACTTTATCTTACTTTTAACATGGGACCAGTTTAAGCGTAAAAAGGTTGCGTGTTACGCTAGTAAGTGTGAGTTTCGTAAGCCGAGTGGGAAGAAGAGAGTCCACAACAGTCAGTCTGACCAGTTGCATTAAATATATCACATTACAAATAGTTTGTAGTTTAAAAAACCTTCTCATGCCGTATATTTATAAACTAAGTTTTTTATTTATTTATTAATATTATCAGGTCTGTGAATTAAATGGATTTTAACATTTTGTTAAGTTAATTCAGAATACACTATCAGTCAGTACAAATTTTTATCGATTGAAAACTGAATAGTGTTTTCTTGGTGTTTTAGTTTTGGGGGTGATAACAGAGGTTAATTCGCCTTCCAAGATCAAATAATATTTCTGCGTTACTACATAATCTTATGATTAAGTTGTAAAATTTTAGGACCCTTCTAAATTTAGATACCACTTAGACACAAAAATTAGAATATCTTACAAAGGACTAGCCTAAAATTTGTTGTTTTAAATTATCTTAATTTAATTTAATTATATTAATTTTTCAAATTACAAATGCTAAAATCTTTTTGTATTTTATAAGTTGATTAACACAATATTTATGATCTGCATTTATTTCAATTAATGATTTAATAATATACTGCGAATAAAAGTAACAATTTTTTATGATTTCATAATTTAATCATCATTATTTATAAGTTAAAAACAATATTTTGAGATCCACATTTTATTTAACTCACAAATTTGATCAATTGTTATCAAGTTAAATTAAACTAACGCGACAATGTAAAAGTCGTAACAATGTTATTACTGGAAAGGCCAAACAGTCAATAAAGATAAACGAGTATTTTCCTATTGTTTTTCTTTAATTTTAAGTAATTCTATATACGTTTTATTTAATAATAAAAATGCTTCGAGAGCTGCTATTTTTTTCGTTTATCCATATATCTTTATAAATAAATTAATATATTATAATAATTAAAAAAAGTTTTAAAGTTAAAATTTTAAGTTAAAAAACACTACCACAATATACACTACAATATTCTCCACTGATTGTCAACACTTAGCTCAATATAGAAAATTCAAAATAATTTTACAAATAGACAAGTAATCGGAACGGTAATATTTTTCAACTTGTGCTAGTAGACGAACATTCGTCCTATATTCGGCAAATACACGAGTAATGGGAACCCGACTTTAGTGTAATAATACTATAACAACTTAAAGCCGCGATGATGATTACGTTTTGATTAACTATATATTGATAAAGGGTGCCATGTAAAACTGACACGGAATAAATGTCAGTGACATAATATTTCAAGATTAAAAATTGACGTAAAGCCGTTTATTCTCACTAAATAACAAATATAACACACAAAAAGGAAAAACAAGAATAACGATCAATTTAACACATGTATATATATATATATAAAAGTTTTTAATTTAATAGTAAATGGCATTTGAATTTTAATATAACTTTATTAGCTTATTAGATATAAACATTTAAAGTTTCAAAATTTTGAGTTAATATACAGGGTGTTCAGTAAGTCAGGAAACGGGTTTCTATTGTTCTCATTGTTACAAACAATGAGAACAATAGAAGAACTAATGAAAACAATATCCTGAAAAATGTATAGTTAGGACAAATATTAGTAATGGGTTTTGATAAAGACTTTATCGTCTTTTTAGTCATTCTTGTAATAAATTGTGACTTGATGGCTTGATAAAAGTTAATTTAAGATTATACATTGCTGTTATATTTTACGAAAATTACCATGAGTTGAAAAACTACAACTAACATTTACTTTATTTTGTGAGTTTTTAACAACAAAATTATATATATTGACTTTTTATATATAAATAATAAGTAAACCAAAAAATTGTTTAGAGTATAGTTTGTGTAAAATATTATTTTAACAACTTTTGTTCTTACAATTTTGTTGTGAATCCATTATTTCACGCGCTGAACTAAAAAAACAATGAAAAATGTACGGTTATCCAAAATTTTTGAGTTTTCAAACTTTAGGCCTTTTGTGCAACGGGTTAATTTTTTCTGATTTACCTGAAACATTGCGTACCTCATTTTTATATGTATTGGAACTAATTGAGATTGTATAATTTTNATGAACTTAAAAAGTATTACATAGTTAAAAATTCAAGAATAATGTGTAACTAAAGATAACAAAAAAAAAAAATGTTTAAATTATTATTATTCTGCAAGTAATTGAGTGGGTTATGATAAAAAAATCACCCTGTATATACTGCTTGAAATGTTTAAGAATGTATCCATGTTTTTACTAATGAGCTGACGTTTCGGACTTGTTGCAGAGTGCATCTTTAGAGCAATAGTTACAGGCTCGTGGTTGTAATTATACTGTAGGTTTAACTTGTTTACGGTGTGTTTTTATTATATCAGATGATAACTGATAACATCGATGTTTTTGTCGTGTTGTTGTTTATAACTGTTAGTTTGTTGTTTACATCCGGTTTTTGTTGCTGTTTACGGCATTTTAGACATTTAGCTCTTTCTTTTCTACACCGGAAATTTTCTGTTATAATAATTGTAGTTTTTCTTTTTACCTGGTGTATGATAGGTAACCAAGCCTTGTCTTGACTTCTTCAAGTCAAGAAAGATCTCCACAAAATTACATCAAAGATGGATGGGAGAAGCTAAATGCCAAGAATGCCGTAAACAATAACAAAAACAGGATGTAAACATCAAACTGACAGTTATAAATAACAACACGACAAAAACATCGATTTTATCAGTTATCAACTGATATAAAAACATGCCGTAAATAAGTCAAGCCTACAGTTTAGTTACAACCACGATCCTGTAACTATCACTTTGAACATGGACTCTGCAACGAGTCCGAAATGTCAGCTTATAAATATATATGTCTAAATATAGGTGGACATACGGTAAAATGTTAAGGAGACTAGAAAATTTAGGAGGGCTTAAATGTAAAAACAAATTATACAAAATCTTCATTTAGAGAGATTAAAGCCCTTCAAATGAGTGTTTTAAATTATCAAATATTTTTTATGTGACTAAATAGTAAGTTTAATAACTATTCGAATTCAATAGTTACTATTCAATATTTTCTATAATTACATCAAAGTCTGTCTACCAAAATGTCATCATGTTACTAAATTATATATTTTTTCATTATATTATTTTCATCAATAATATTATGGAATCGATTCCCAGGCTAGCATTATTATAGCGTCAATTTTTTATGCACACAGGTCATTTATACCTGTTAATTATGAGTAACTTTTGAATACGAGTATTAACTCTCTAAAAAAATCATTAACTTCTAAATTTCTAATAGTGTTTTAATAGTAACTATTCATTTTTTACCTATTGAATTATTATATTCAAACACCTTAAAATTTGAAGGAAAACAAAAAAAATTTGGGGGTCGCAAAAATATACTTTTGCTTAACCGTATTGATTGTATGCATTAAATAAATGCTTTGAATCTCTCTACAAATATTAATTGTGTTGTAAATAAACTATAACGGACATATTTTTTATATTTACGTCATTAAAAAAATTCTTAATATAATGGCATCAAATTATTATATTGATATAATATTATATGATATTTAGAACAAGAGGTAAAATGTACAGAGTAGACTGATAACATAGATTAAGCGCATTGTTCATGGCTACCATGAACAAAACAGATGCCGAATATTTAGATGGTAAACTGGAAGGCTCAACGATTGAATGCTTCAGTAAGCTTATATTGCCATGGAGATCAGACTTAGAATATACACAAAATACTTACTAATTTGTTTGTTAACTATTCATTTTACTGTTAATATTTTATTAGTAATTCACATAAAGTATTATTATCATATTGTACAAAAAAAAATATTTTTATTATAACTGAAGTTTTACTTATGATTACTAATGTCTATAAATCTAGATTCTGGGGTTGTGACTGCAGATGATGAAAGATCATTTAGCGAGCAAGATAAGTATGTAGTTCAAAAATATATCATGTGTTTTAGAAGAATGTTTAAGTTAAATTATTTACATTAAAACTTTTTAGAGATATATCGTGGCAAAATTTAATGAAAATGTCAAGTTCTTTGAAAACAAATATAGATTTAAATATGAAAAAAGTCAAAGTAAAAACCTTATAATATAATAAATATTAACCTTAAAAATATAATAAAACAAAGTATTATTATACTATTTTTTTTTATTTGTCAATATTGTTGTATAGTATCAAATGAATTCCATTCAAAATGAAGCAGCTGAACAAAACAATTGTGAAGTATTGGCTGAACAATCAAATGTCACGGTTAATGAGCTACTACCATTATCGGCCTTCAATAATAAAGTATAAACATTTTAATACAATAAATGAGAAAAACACATTTTTATTTTGTACAATTAGAAAATTTTCATTTTAGATGAATGATGACAATGAAATCAATAATTTCGACGTGTTAAACTTAGAAAAATGTCATCTTATTCAGCGTAATTCAGAGTTTAATAATAGTTTAAAAAATATTTTCGTATCTCAAATGGGAGACCCTGACCAAATAGATCAAACGCCAAAAGTAATTGATTTTAAAGTAAATAAATTAGTTTAAAAGTTATTGCTTATTATTAGTTACTATTTCTAAACCTTAACCTATATGACCGAGCGTTTTAATAATTTTCTTTTTATTAAAATAAGGTAAAAGTATTTTAATTGTAATAGTTAACATTTTCAACCTTCTAATAATAATATATTTTTTATAAATTGGTTCTAAATAAATTGTTTTTTCAATGAACACATTTGATAGAGGTTTTCTTACAAGTAATGAACAGTGCTATTTTCGTAACAAATTCATAGGGTTCTATTAGAAATTTACAAGCTCCAAATCGAAGATACTTCTTCCCTTATTCATTTAGTTTTTATAATGTAAAAAGGAAATACGTTGACAAAAATACTTAAGTAATTACGCAGTGAGTATATGAAATGGAGGGGACTTATAATAAACTTTTTTATTATTTTAGGGTATACAAATATATAAAAACGTACGTAATATTATAATTTTTTCAAAATTGGTATGCATTTATTTTAAAATTTCAAACTTAGTATTAAGGTATCACGTAAACTGTACGAACTGATCATATAACACAACTAATTATGAAGATGAAAACCTTTATTTTTTGAATAATTAAGAACACACTTATGTATTTTATATATAAATACAATAAAAATTTTGTATAAGATTTAAAAATATATATAGCATAAATAATATTTGAGGAACATTATTTTAAAAATTTAATAAAAAACAAAATGTGAGTTTAAATCAGTTTTTAATGGGGCTCATATATCTACAACAACAATTCCTTTTTCCTTTAACATATTTATCACTTTGCAAAAAAATTATTTTATCTCATCTTGATAAATTTAAAAAATAGCATTACTTATTCAACATTTATAAATACTTGAATTAGGTTAAAGAAAAAAATCGCTCCGAGAATATTTCATTTACGGAGAAAGAATTTTTTGACAATGAGAATGATTGTATTGAAGAAATAGGAAAATCTGTGGGAATTATAAAAAAAATGTTTGAAGTTAAAAACAAGTGTCAAAATTGGATTGAAAAATATGATGAATTACATGATAAGTATTTGAATTTGGAATCAAAATGTATTGCCATCGAACAAAATAATTCTAGTAAGTAGATTTTATTAAAATCTTAAAATAATAAAATTTTGACTAACTTTAATTTGCTATAGGAAGATCATAAATAATTTTAAAAAACTTAGTACAGTGGGGACGTAGCATAGTTGGGTCCCGTATAGATGATATCTGACAATGATTAAAATCACTATCATAAAAAAGGCTTCTATACAAATCTGTAGATAGTGTTTAATTTTAAAAAATTGGTGAATCATTCCATAAGCTACATGATCTCCTTTTTCCTTTTTTATATCCTGATTAATAGTTTTATGATTTGTAAGTGTAATATATGAATAAATATTTATATAGCAATTAAATATATTATGAAATGGATATTTAATAATTTAGTATTGTAATTTTTACGGAGAAATTATAAAGTCGTTATTACTTTTATGGTAAACATATATAAAAGTTGAAGGTTTTGATGCAGTACTTAAAAAATAAAAAATAATTAAATAATTATTTTTTAATAATTTATATATTACATTAGCTTTAGTTTAATATTTATATAAAAGTGTCAGTCTTTCCGGAACATTTTCAAAAGTTAATTTTTTATGAACAAATTGTCATTTTGAATCCATCTGTGGGCCGGTAAAGGGTCAGATTTATAAAAAAAAATCCAGCATAGTGGGGACGTAGTATAGTTGGATTCAGTATAGATTTAATCTGACAGTGGTTAAAATCACTACCATAAAAAACGTTTCGATGCAAATCTGTAGATAGTGTTTAATTCTTAGAAATTAGTGGATAATTATAAAAGCAACATCAACTTCTATTTCCTTAATTATATCCACATTAATAATTCTTTTACTTATATACTATATAATTTTTATATTTGTTTTCAAATTATTATTGATTTTTAATATGTTAAAAGTAATAATTTTTAACCTACATTTTTTGTCCTTTAAAGTGAAAGTTTATAATAAAAAAAAAAGAATTTACTACCATAACTTTTAGCTCAATTTGCATGTTTGAAATAGAATAGAATCATTCAATAGAACAAATAGTATTGTTAAGATTAATATGCAATCAGGATATTTTATAATTACTATTTACAGTAAATTTTTCATTTCATCCATTGTTAAATTCAGGTGAAGCTAAAAATCATTTTTTTTTTAGATTTTTGATTTATTTAGCAACATGTTATGAAAAAATTTGGAATGTTATAGACTGGTAGTAGCACACACAAATAGAGTAAAAATATTACATATTTTAAAAATATTAGAAATGAATGGTTTTAATTGTTTATGTGGATAAAGCTGGTTAAGCTACTTGTTATTTGATTAAGGGATTTTTTTTTCAATTTTTGAGGTGGATTCAAAATGACAACTTTTTCACAAAAAATTTACTTTTTCTTCTTTACTTTTAAAAGTGTTCCGGAAATACTGACATTTTTATATATATCTTAAATTAAAGATTATGTAATATACACTATTATGGAAAAAAAAAATGTTGTACGTTTTTTTGTCTTCATGGTGAAAATGGCTACCGTATACTAATTTTTGTGTTAATATTTTCGATTATATATTTTAGTTTATTTTAAAATATTCTACAAAAGTTTTTAAATTAGAAAAAACGTTTAAATCGTTTTATTTTTATCTCATTGAGATAACTTTAATAAATATCAAGGAACCCATCACTGTAGGGGACTACAGTTTGAAGATATTACTTATTTACATTAAAGTTTTTTCTATGGGATTTTTTTTTACGGCTCTCGTTTATTTTCTTATCTCTAACTTGTCCAACATTTTTTAACAATATATTGATATAAATCTGATAAATTAATTATATTCTGAATATTTCAATTGTAGAATATTTTTAAACACAAAAAATTACTTAGAAATGATTATTATTATTTCTATTTAAGTAATGTATTAGAATAAAAATACAAAAATAATATTGAGCTTTTCTGATAAATTACAGCAAATAGTAATTATACAATTTCCAGACTGCATATTAATATTAACAATACTATTTTTTTATTCTCATAAAATTTTCTATTTTATAATGTCAATTTCAAACTTGAAGTTGAGCTAAAACTTATGGTAACAAATTCAACTTTTTTTATTATAAACTTTCAAAAAATCAATTTTAAAAGACCAAAAAAATAGGTTAAAAATAATATTTTGCAATGGTTATTTTTAAAATATTAAAATTCAAAATCTTTAAATGTAAAACAATTGTTTTTTAATTATTTTTTTATCGTAATAAATCATTTCAAAATATATTAATAATTTCTACGTAACTCTTGGTATTTAAATAGATGATACATTTGAAATTTTCAGAACTATTATGCTTATAGTTAGATCTTATAGTTTGTAACTAATTAATAATAATATCAAAAAATATTGGTGATAGAAAAAATATAATTGCTGATTTGAAATGATCACGAAAAATTGAATATATAGGTATTTTTTGACTCTGATGAAAATTGTTTGCAGACCATTTATTCATAATTAACAACAAATTATTATCTAAAAAGTTCTATGTCAAGCTCTTCAATTTTCATACACGTTTGCCATGAAAGTAATAACTACTTTATAATTTCTCCGTAAAAATTACAATACTAAATTATTAAATATCCATTTCATAATATATTTAATTGCTATATAAATATTTATTCATATTTATACTTACAAATCATAAAACTATTAAACAGGATATAAAAAAGGAAAAAGGAGATCATGTAGCTTTTAGAATAATCCATCAATATTTTTAAATTAAACACTTTCTACATATTTGTATAGAAGCCTTTTTTATGATAGTGATTTTAATCACTATAATCACGCCATTTACATATAGGTTATAATTAAACATATGTATAAAGATCAAAAAATTTTTGAAACATTTTCAAAACTAATGACAAATAATATTATTCAGCTTTTTTATGAATGATATCATTAAAGTAAATTAAAAACATTATTATGCTGCAAAATATCAAACTATTTCTTTATTATAATAAGCAAACCAAACTCAAACTTTTCAACAATATAATTGAGTTGTAACGCAATTTTTTTGTGACGCAATGTAAAATCTATGTGGCAACAAATCTATTTAAAGAAAATTATAATAATATCACAGATATTTTATAAATTTTAGCTTTATCATTTCTAAATGCAAAACAAAACGAGTACGTGTCTTTGAGACTTCAAATTATATTTTGTTCAAAAAATTTTCAATTTTAATTATTTTTTAAATGTTTTCATTAAAAATTGTCAAGATAATTTTTTTATTATTTTATGTGATTTTATATACTAAAACACAAAATTCTACAAAAATAAAAATATTACAATTAGATACATTACTAAATTATCCGGGATGGAAAATTTTGAACGATGTGTACTCTATAAAATATTTGAATAAAAAATATTATCTTAAAAGTCTAATTGAAATACCTACAAATCGATCAAAATGTATACAAAAAATACGAGCCTTGACTATATATCTTGGATGTACATATGGTAAAGTTATGAATAATCTTTTTTCAATTATTATCAACATGATAACAATTTGTCAAGAAAAAATTCTTGGAGAACACGATTTCTTAAATGGATGCATTTATACCGAAGAACTCATAGACTTAATAGCCACTTTTATTGTTCCAACAGCAACATTGATGAAAAATGCAATGGATGCTTTAGATTTATTACATGACAAACCATGGATTACTTTTACAAGGAATCAAAAACATTACTACATAATGAGTCCTTTATTAGAAACAATAACAAATGTTCTTCACAAATTAAACGAAAGATCTCTATCACGTGACAATATATCTACATACTTTTGGATATTAGATACTGTGTTTGATTTTTTTCTTAAAATTATAAAAAATATAAAAAAAGAAATGCTATACTATTGTACATTTGTACCTTATGATACGAATTATTTATGGAATGAATGGAATCAAGAATATAAAATTATTATTGACCAAGGCATAAAATTAATATTTTTCAAATTCTTAATAAGGAAAATTAAAAATTATATCAAGACAGAAATTATAAAAAAGTATTTCCAACTGGGATTTAAATATGATTCAATAACTGAAGAAACGTTTGTCCCAAAACCAAAGGAGCTAATTGAACTAGGTATGTAAAATAAAAAAATGTTAATTAAAACATCTATTATAGTTTTATACAATTTTTTTTAGATCAAGAAATAAAATTTAAAGCAACATATGAAGTAATTTCAGAGACAATAGAAATAGATCATTAAATGTTGTACTAAAATTAATTTTGTTCTACATTTATGTTTTATAATTAATTATAAGATATTAATTGATATTATATAAATTTTTACTTAAAAAATCTTTAAATTATTATTAAAACACTATTATGGATGAATCATACAATTATTTATTGATTGTACACGAAAAAAATTATAGTAAGTACTAGAAGAAAAGGTGGGTGTTTTTATCAACAAACATTTCTTGGCTATACTTCTCTCACTAAGGTATAACAATGTTATTAACTTCTGAAATATTGATCAAAAAAGTTGTTATCCATAAGTTATATTCATAATAAAATCATTGTTCTACTTACATTTTTAGCTTCGATGCGAAGCTGAGAAGGTATTAATTTTGCTAAGATGTGTTTTTTTTTGTGTCTGTTGCCACTTTTTCTCAGCTCTCACTGGGCCGATTTCTTTTAAAAATACGTTAAAAGATCACAAATCGTATCTAGTGGAAGACATTATCTTTAAAAATTGAAAAACTTTCCCTCGTTCTCCGCAAATAGGGGAAATATCCAAAAAAATTACAAATTTAAAAATCGGTAAATTTTGTCATTTTTTTCACTTTTTTTTCTTAAAACTTCCTAATACTGCGTCCTTTAAAACTATGTCAAATTAAAGCTTATGTCATGTACTATAAAATTAAAAAAAAAAATTTGTCCCGACGATCTTCTATGCACAAAAAGCTACCGTATTCAAAAATATGCTATTTTTGTAATAAAATTCTGGGTTTTGTATTTTATTTTATTTTAAAATATCTTATTAGGGGAATACACTGACTTTCATGAATATTGTTCTATTAAAATTTTCACTTTAAAGGACAAAAAAAAGTATATTCATAATGATTACTTTTAACATATTAAAAATCAAAATCAATAATAATTTGAAAACAATAAATTTTAAAAATTATATAATATATAATTAAAAGAAAAACTAATCTGGGTATAATTAAGGAAATAGAAATTGATGTTGCTTTGTCCATCAATTTTTTAGAATTAAACACTATCTAAAGATTTGCATCGAAGCGTTTCTTATGATAGTGATTTTATCACTGTCAGATTAAATCTATACTGGACCTAACTATGCAAAAACCCCACTATGGCGCGACTCCACTGTGCTGGGTTTTTTTATATTTTTTTTGTGATTTATATTTTGTCTTCTGATGTATTGTTAAATTTCATTTTAATCTAATTATATTTGGTTATTTTAAATAATTAAAAATTAATTGTAAAATATTTTTATATTAATATATTTTTATCATCACTAGAAATACTACGATTTTTATTTAAAAAATTTATTACGGTAAAAATGTAAAAAAAAAAAAAAGTAATTGACTAATTAGTAAAAAGCGAGTATTAACATATAAAAAACCCTGCACTATTTTATTAGTTATTGTTAGTCATTATTAGTTTTGAAAATGTTTCAGAAATTTTTTGATCTTTATACATATGTTTAATTATAACCTATATGTAAATGGCCTCGGAAAAATGATTATTTTGGCGTAAAATTAATCGTGTTTCATGCTGTTATAATTTTTTTTTCTCATTAAACATGCCTATCAAAAAACCCAGCAGAGTGGGGGTTGTGGTACAGTGAGGATGTGGTATAGTTGGGTCCATTATTAATGATATCTGACAGTGATTAAAAACACTATCATAAAAAAGGCTTCTATACAAATATGTAGAAAGTGTTTAATTTTAAAATATTGGTGGATTATTTCAAAAGCTACATGATCTCCTTTATCCTTTTTTAAATCCTGATTAATAGTTTTATGATTTATAAGTGTAATATATGAATAAATATTTATATAGCAATTAAATATAGTATGAAATGGATATTTAATCATTTAGTAATGTAATTTTTAATTATAAAGTAGTTATTACTTTTATAGCAAACGTGTATGAAAATTGAAGGTTTTAATGCAGTACTTAAAAAATAAAAAATGTTTGTTATTTATAAATAAATTTACTGGTCTAAAATAAATTTTCATCAGAGACAAAAATATACTTTTGTAAACCTATTTTTGCGTCGAATTCAAATCTGCAATTAGAGTTTCGCATATGACCTAAATAATAACAAAATTTGTCTAATTAATTGAACAAATATTTATGTTTGATTATTAGGTATTTTCGGAATACTTTCAAAATTTAAGTTGAAAAGTTAATTTTTTGTGAAAAAGTTGTCATTTTGAATTCCCCCCTGTGGGTAGGTAAAGGGTTAGATTTATAAAAAAAAATATACAAAATGATAGGTAAGTATCTCACGTATCTATATAAAAACAAATTATATTGATTTGGTGTTTTTTAAAAAAGTTATGCCTATTTAAAAAAAAACAATTGAAAAATATCGAAATTTATTGTTTTTAAATTTGTAATTTTTTAAGATATCCGCCATTTACGGGGAACGAGGGAAATTTTTTCAATTTTTAAGGATAATGTCTTCGACTAGATACGATTTCTGATCTTTTGGTGTATCGTTGAAAGAAATCTGTTCGGTGAGAGCTGAGAAAAAATGACAAAAAACACAAAAAAAAACACATCTTAGCAAAATTAATACCTTCTCAGCTTTGCATCAAAACTAAAATATTGAGTGTCTTAGATAAAAATTAATAATTATTAAAAACTAGTATATACATATAAAAATTTATTTTTATTCTTATGCAAGTTTTTAATTTAAAAATGTTGAATAAGTAAAACTTTTGTGGCTTTTGAGTTTAATATTTTTAATATTTTTTAGTTTTTTTTTTAAATTAATAATATTTTTAATATAGTTTTAATTTTACTTAATTAATTAGCCACAAGTGATCAATTTCTATTATATTATTAAAAATGTTGAACTTTTAAATTTTTTATAGCTCAACTCACAAGTTTGAAATTGATATCATTAAATAAAAATTTTCTAGTAGTCAGGAACTTGCATACTTACTATTCATAGTAAATTTATGAGGAAAGCTTAACATTTCGTTAAAATCACTAGTTTTAGTTAATTATTATTTTTTTTCATATGTAAATACTTATTTTTTACTAATTAGTAATAATCTCAAAAATGATATGATAGAAAAAAATTACAAATTTAAAATCAGCAAAAAATGGCTTTATGAAAGTATATTCTCTGGTGGAAATTCTTTGTAGACCAGTGTATTTATTCTTTAGTAACAAAAAATTTTTTTTGAAAAGTATTGCGCTTCATGTCCTTTAATTTTTATACATGTTTATAAAATTACATTATTATTTTCTAATGTTTCTCCATACAAATTACAATTTTAAATTATTAATATAAATTTATACTTATACTTCATACTATTACTAGAACTAAGTATTTATTCATATATTATATTTATAAGTGAAAGAAATTTTAGTCTGGATATAACTAAGGAAGTAGACGTTCATGTTGCTTTTGAAATAATCCATCAATTTTTTAAAATTAAACTCTACAGATTTTCATCGAAGCATTTCTTGTGATAGTGATTTTAATTACTCTCAGATATCATCTATACTTGTCCCAACTATGCCATGTTCACACTATGCTACCGTTTTTTTTTTGTTTCAATATCGAAATAAATCATTTTAGTAAAAATCATAGAAATCATTTTCTATGTCACTTTTGATGTTAAATAGATATTACAATTAAAATATTCAATACTATATTTCGTATAATTATACATATTATATAATATACTGATATTTAAAAATAGTCCACACTGTGCCACGACCCCACCATTTTATTAATTTGTAATTATAATTAAAAATAACTTATGGCTATTAATAATTTACCACAAGTAATCAATTATATTCTTTTTGGGTTTAACTTGATTTATTTTTTTAATGCATGAAAATTAGTTAAAAATATTATTTTAAATTTAATATCTGCATTATTTTTTATTTTTAATAAAGGTTACCAAATAGAATTGGCTAGAACTAAATCTATTGAAGAAGAAAATTTACGACTTAACAAGTTATTTGTTAAAGAAACTAGAGGTATTTACTAATTAACTATCAAATTAAATTTAAAACCCTGTATTTTGTTATATATACCATTTAAGTTATATAAGTCAAGTAAAGACGAAAAATTGTTTACATGTACACATGTTTGCCATTTGACAAAATTTTGAAAAGTATTTTTAATTATTTTTGGTTCATAAACTATTCCTGACAGATATGTGATTATATATAACCAGGAAAAACATTTCAGGAGAATATAACTGGCAAAAAAAACTGGAGTATTAAATGAAGTAAAAAAATTTGAAATTTTTATCTAATAAAAAAAAAAAAAATGTTGATGGCAAACACTTGAAAANATGTTGATGGCAACACTTGAAAATTTATTCCTGAAAATATATTTATTCATGTTAACAGAGAAAAATACATTGTTTAATCTTTTTTACGATGGTATTTTAATTTTTGATTATATTTTCTCCAGGCGTAATTTCCTAAATTTATACAGTTTTTAGTGATTTTATTTTTAATTAATTAAATGAAATCAATTTAATGTTAAAAGTTATCAACATATTCTGTAGTGCGAAATGAATTAGAAACAGCATTAAGATTTTGTCACGAAAAGATAGACAAATACCAAAGAGATGAATCGACAGCAAGAGACAAAGTTAAAGAAGCTATTGAATTAGTAGAGAAAACTTGTATGGAAAAACAGCGTGTCACCGAAGAGTTGAAAAAATCCAATGGTTATAATTATCAAATTAATTAAAAAAAAAATTGACTATTTTACTTATTTCACTTAGTCAATAATAACAATATACTTTCCTTCAGATGAAGTTAATCGACTTGAAGAAGAATTGAAGAGGTTAGTAGTGGATGCTGGTAACAAAATTAGTATCGAAATTGAAAAAGTCAAATTAATTTACGATACAAAATTTCAAGAAGTCAAAATAGAAACCCAGCGTTTGCAAATGGTGGAATGAGTGTAAAAAAAATGTACTTTTATTATATTTTTTAAATTATAAATATTTTTTAACAGGAAAAGAAAACAGCCGAACGAGATTTAGAAAAAAAAACTAAAGAATATGCCGATTTGACAAAAAAATATGAATCAGTCGCCCAAGAATGTGTCTCACAACCTTTAGTTCATTTGGAAAATGTTAACTCTTTGATTGATCAAATTGATGACTACAAAATCAAATGTGAAAAACTTATGAATGAAGTAGAAATCTTAAAAGAAGCAAATAAGCAAAATCAAGAAAAGTAAAGGAAAATTAATATCGAATTTTTTTAATTTGAATAATTTATAGAAATATGAAGTTTTGAAACAATAAAATTTTATTACAAAATTCATAATTTTCATTCTATTTTTTAGTTACACAAGAAAATCGGCAAGATACAAAATGGAAATAATGTCTTTAAAAGATAGAGNGCAAGATACAAAATGGAAATAATGTTTTTAAAAGATAGAGAAGAATCATTAAAAAAACATTTAAACAGCGCCATGCGTCAAATAGCGGAAGATAAAAATGAGTTATTAGAAACAACTGATCGTATTAAAGTTTTGGAGATGGAAATTAACAAATCGTAAGTGATAATTTATAACATAAAAAATATAATATTACAACATTATTTCAAAATGTTAATCTATGTTTAGGATACCATAAAAGCAGGGCTATATTCAGATCATAGGTTAGGGAAACAAATTTTAGAATTTAATATGTGCATATATGGGAGGGGCGCAGCTTGGAAAATTTGCTAGGGACGTAACAAAACCAAGATCACGTTCTGGATAAGATATGGGATTTTTTTGAATAATTTTTCAATACGTCGCACAATAAATAAAAACTGTAAATAAAAGATAACAAAAAAAAAATCAATTATTATACGAGGTATTATNAAAAATTCAATTATTATACGAGATATTATTGATTTGGATAAGTTAAATTTATGAAGTCTATTTCTATTAAAAAGTTCATAATATGATACCTCTGACTAAATATTAAAGTAATGCCTATTAAAAATATTTATAGAGGTTTTTAATCTGGTCATTTTAAAAATAAAAAATAAATAATTGGTCTCTATTATGAGAAGAATATTAATATAAGTTTTACGTTACTTTTAGAAACAAGCCTAAAGAAAATAGTGATCAACACGACAAAAAAATAATTGCTGAATTAATAAAACATATTGAAGCTTATAAAAAAACGATAGATATGTAAGTAAATAAAATAAAATAGAAAATTTAATTATTTTTCATTAAATGAAAAATTTAATGAATTAAGTTAAATATTTTTGAGTATTTCTATTAATTTTACTGAAAATAAAATTAGTTTTTATCAAATTATTTTTTAAAACAGGTGGAAAAATGAAATGAGTGATATTACAAAAAGTTTAAAAAATAAAATTGTTAAATTAAAATTAAATAATAGACAGTTATATCAGAAAAACATGAAACTAAAAAAAATGATTAATATTTCTAGATATAACTACCGCTTTAAAATGAAAAAAAGTCTACCATTTCAGGAAAAAATGTAAGGAGGTAAATTTTAATTTTTGCATTGCATTAAAATAATTTTTTTTAAGGTACAAATCCAAATTAACAGACGTGTCTTCTTCAGCATAATAACACCTATTATAAAACTAATTATGTTGAATTTTTGTTTTTATAAAAACAAAGAATTAATTACAAATATTATATTTAAATAGCAACTAACAATATTAATACAAAATAATTATGCACTTTTTAAAAAAATAGTTGCACCTTTAAAATTTAACATTGTTATTCTATTTTTTACAAATATTTTGTTAACAATTGTCTAATTGTAAAGTTTTTCCTTTAATAAATTACATTAAAAAAAAAAAAACATTACTTTGATTGAGAGTAATAGTTTACATTAACAAATGGTATTTTTGTTACAGTCATTGATACTTGTTGGCCTCTGATTTGTGATTTAACCTCAGTACCAATTTTTGCAAATTTGTTATTTAAATAACCCATGGCGATGTTTTGTTGCAATGAGGGAGAAGGGCATCCACTAGTTACTGCTCCTATTTTATTTCCATTAGTATCAAAAATAATTGCTCCACTCCTCACTGGTGCACCTGAAGATTTTTGAACTAAGCCCACCCGCTTACGATTTACGCCTTCACTTATTTGTTTTAATATAATAGAAGAACCTGGAAAATTTCTTTCATCTCTTCTTTTTTTACCTTTCAAAGTAAAATCTCATCGTTTAATTTTTAATATCTATGAAATTTAACTTAAATCTTACTTATTGTCCACACTAATGCAGCTTCTACTGGAGTAGTGGTACTATCAATGTCAGATCCATATAAACACATTCCAGCTTCTAATCTATTTAGTTTTATACCAATTTTATAAAAATTAACAAATGTTTTGTTTAGATTAATTTTACCTCAATGTGTCTCTAGCTCCAAGTCCAGCTAGTTTAACACTATTATTAATTAGGAGTTTCTCAGATATCATTGTTGCCCTATCAGAAGGTACAGATATTTCAAAGCCGTCTTCTCCTGTATACCCACAACGGTTAATGCGACAGTTGGGAACACCACAAACTGTTGCAATCACACTATTCATAAAGTATAATTTAGACAGATCAACAGTAACTAATTGTTGAAGAACATTCATTGATTTTGGTCCTTGTAATGCTAACAAAGACTGATCATTGCTGTCCAAAAATTCAATAGTCACGTCTTTCCCTTTTGATTTAAAGTCAGCCTAATAGTAATCATTCATAGTCAGTTAAAAGTTATACTTAACAATGCTAAAAATATAAATTTACTAATTTCTCTAATATCATTTTCATGTCGCTTTCTTTGCAACCCGCATTTGTAACCATGAATATATAATTTTCTTCTGTTTTAGTAATAATTAAATCATCAAGTATACATCCAGTATGATCATTCACAAATAAACTTAAAACACTTGTTCCTTTTTTTAATCCTAAAATTTTTGTAATCTAGTAAAAATTATTTTTCATTAAATTATAAAATTTTCTTAACCTTGAATATCTGCAACACACATTTCTTCTATAAATTGCTCTTTGTTTTTTCCATATATTTTAGTTTGTAACATATGTGAAACATCAAATAATGAACATGATTTCCGAGTGTGCAAGTGTGATGATGTTATAGAATCAGAATAGGAAATAGGCATATAATAAGAGGCAAATGGTACCATTTTGCCTCCATTACTTACATGAAAATCATATAAACTAGTTTTTCTTAGTGTATCTACAAATGATCGTTCTGTAACATTTACATGAAGTAAAACAAATTTTTAGATAACTAAAATAATATACAAATAAAGAATACATACTTAATATCAATTGTGTATTAATTATAGATGTCCATTTTTTCAGTCGTTGTTTTATCATTATTACTTAAATATTGTTTAGAACAATTAAATTAGTATAATAAAAAAAATTGTTCTTTATTCATGTATTCATCAATAGCATCAAATTAAACTAGAACTAATATTGTATGGTTACCACTAAAGTAGTTATCTAACATTGCTTTATTAATATAACAGTGAACTGATTGATTATAATGTTAAAGTTCATTAATATTATTTAGATAAGATAACTGTTGATAACTAACTGAAATAAACTACTATTAAATAGTGCCATTTTCAACAAATATACATTCTGATAAAAAAACATGTTAATATAATGAAAACAAAAGCGAAAAGATTAAATTAAGAAAATAAACTATAACTTTAAGTCGAAAAATTCATTTATTAAAACTTTTTATAGAAAGTACATAAATAATTTAATAAATTGAAATGAGGACATATGTATATATATATATATATATTTGAACATATTTAATATATTATTGATTTAACATTTCCAGGTTAAAACTGATAATCATTATTAGCAGATTAAGCTGCACCCAATTGTTTATAAAGCAATGGTACATAATCATCAAATTGTGCCTGATAAAAATTGCCAGCAATTGGTGATCCAAGGGTGTATTTCTTAGCAAATTTATGAATAGAAAATTTTTCACGATTAAGAGCTGATCTAAAAAAAAAAATAAAAACAAAATATTGAAATATAATTAAAAAATAATTTATAAAAATAATATTAAGAATAATTTTTTAAATATTCACTTGTTAGTTAAACGTGGTTCATCAAATGTTAATTTAGATGGTTGTTTGTATACCAAAAATACATAACGATGAAGTCCTAAGAACAATATTTCAAAATAAAAATAATAAGTCAGCAATCATACTGTATTAATTACCAGTATTTGGTGGTGGTCCTGAACCAACATATTCTGAAAGAGTTTCACCTTTGCTTATTTCAGTACCTGGTATATTTCCAACAAGCCAATGGTGCCATTCTCTATAAGTATGTTCCTTTCGACTAGGAGCATCAGGATCTATTATTTATTTAAAAATGTAAGAATATCATTTTTTAACCAAAAATATGTATAAAACATAAATAGTTTTTAGGTAATTTGTTGACTAGTTAATGTAGTATTAACTTATATGGTGATACTTAAAAAGAAATACCTGTCATGCATAAAGTGTAAAGAGTGTTATCTTCAACATCCCATTTAACTGTTGGTTCATCTTTTACTTGTGTTGGCGTAAGTTCGTTTCCATAATCTACATTGACACCACTAGGATATGATACCTAAAAAAAAAATTAGTACAATATTAAAAACTGAAATAAATATTGCATGACTTTAAAAGTTAAATTAAATACTATAATACAATAAAAATCCAAAATATTTATTATTTTAATTATTTAATTGTTGTGAGAATAAATAATTTAAATATTAAATTCAATATTTAGGAATAAAACATTACCAAATTATTTTTCTGGACAATTTGATAGATTTTTAATAAATAATATCATAAATTTAAATAAATTATTAACTTCATTTTATGAAGTAAAACTAGTTTATACTTCCTAGAGTGTTATATTCAATATTTTAATATATGTGTCATGCCATATATTGATGCTAGTTTTAAAATCCATTTGGTATATTAAAACCAATCAAACTCTTTAATAGACTTCAAAATAGTATTTTCAATTTGTATTTACATATAGAATAAAGGTTTTACAATATGCCAGGGATCATAAAATATTGACAGAAAGATATGATTGATCTTCATGTAGTACTATGTTGATAAAATAATAAAACTTTTATAGATAAAAATTAACATTTAAGTTTTTAAAACAGTATTATAGAGCTTAACAGAAAGTAACAGAGCTAAAATTGGAAAAGTTTAATTAATTTAAATTGAATGAATCGTTACTTGTATTTTTCCTTTAGGGGCTTCAGGAATGACATCTGGCACAATTTCATGTTGTTCCATGATCTTTTGATAATTAACAGAAGTACTGAAACGAGCAGATAGTTGTGTAAAAACTTGAGAAAATAATCGTGTACAAGTGACTAATAATGCCATGAACACAGTCAATAACAAGTGCGGAAATTGAAGAAAAATTGCTATAAATAACAGAATAGTTATCCAAAACTGTTGGTGTTTTTACAGAATTTTAATAAAAAAAATTTATGTATTACCACTATATTAGATAACGAATAATATGATTGAGTAATTCTAAATAACACTTGAAGCCGATAATAGTTTTTTTTTTCAATAAAGATTACATAAATGATTACTTCTATGCATTACTAATCTGTTGAATTATGCGTACATCCAATGTAATCAAATTATTTTTAAGTGATTAAAAGATAAACAAAATTCCATGGAAGAAAAACAGCACAAAGCGCTTGCTTTTTAAAAAGATTAAGATTTAATATAGTTAATACATGAAAGTCCGGTTCACATGTACAATATTTATGAATATTAAATAAAAGATATCATAGTATATTTATTTTAGTATTTAAAACATCATAAAATGTTTATAACAAGTTAATGAACAAAACCTACACCATTTTCGTAGGGTAATCAAATTTTTAGGAGATTGAGCTAAAATTAATTCTTTTCATACGCCGGTGATTATCATAATACGAAATTATAGAGAGTATAACAAAAAAATATTTAAAAATCTATTAAGCTTTGATTAAAGTATTGGTGGAATAAAAAAATAGATTTAACATAAAATAATGTAAAAATAATTGGGCTGATTGTTATTTGTTGAAATATTACTATTTTATGACATAAAAGGTGTAGTAAAATTTTACTAGATCTAAAAAAAAAGTGAAGTATTTTTTAAATTTCAGCTTGGTTTATAAGCCTGGCAACTACTTAGCATTTAATTTTGTTATAATTAATTTAAAATAGGCCTTTTGAGCTATCTGAGATATTTGAGGAAGCATGCTAGCCCCTTTAGTTATGACCCTTTATAGTATTTCAATTCATTGTCATCCAAATAACAATTTTATATAATTATATAGTAAAATCATTGAGTGTAGAAAATTTTTCATTTATGAAAAGAGTTCAGTAAAAGAAGATAAAATTTAAGGAACTAAAGAAATAAAGTTTTCGTATACAATTTCATCTGAAATTACTAATATTATTTTTATTAATAATCTGTAAAGGCATTAAAATTTTTTAAAGAAAATTTCATTTTTTAAAATTTATTTGAAGTATAATTTTTTTGGACTAAACCTCTTTAATAAATAATAATTCTTATAGATTGCTGTTAATACTCAATTATTTAATAAGTAATTAATAAAAACAAATATTTGTTCAAAGTTTAGAATTTATTTTGATAAAAATTATATAATGAAAACAACAAATGTAACATAAATACATAAACAATGGTTTATACATTTATTTATACAGTACTATGATTTATAAATACCCTATTTAAAGAGTGTTTTAATATATAATAGTTTTGTTTTTTTAAATAAATATTGTAATAAATTTCTGTTCAAGTTGTAGTTGGCTGTTTGTAGCGAAGTGGCACATAATCATCATATTGTGCCTGATAAAAATTACCAGCAACTGGTAATCCAAGATTGTATTTCTGAGCAAATTTATGAATAGAAAAATGAGTACGATTACCAGGTGACCTAAATTACCATTTTGATTAATATTATATTATTAATATAGTAGAAGAATTCTTAAAAATAATTACTTGTTAGTAACATATGGTTCATTAAATATTAATTTAGATGGTTGTTTGTATACCAAAAATACATAACGATGAAGTCCTAGAAACAGAATCAAATAAAAAGAATAATCAAGTAAAAATGATGATACGTAAGTAAATACCAGTATCTAGAGGAGGTCCTGAACCAATATATTCTGTAAGAGTTTCACCTTTGCTTATTTCAGTACCTGGTATATTTCCAACAAGCCAATGTTGTACTTCTCTATAAGTATGTTCCTTTCGACTAGGAGCATCAGGATCTATTATTTATTTAAAAATGTAAGAATATCGTTTTTTAACCAAAAATATGTATAAAACATAAATAGTTTTTAGGTAATTTGTTGACTAGTTAATGTAGTATTAACTTATATGGTGATACTTAAAAAGAAATACCTGTCATGCATAAAGTGTAAAGAGTGTTATCTTCAACATCCCATTTAACTGTTGGTTCATCTTTTACTTGTGTTGGCGTAAGTTCGTTTCCATAATCTACATTGACACCACTAGGATATGATACCTAGAAAAATGAACACAACATCTAATAACATTGATTTTTTTAATACCAATTAATTTGGTTATTTAATTAAACACAGACTAATATATTTGTTAAATATATATATATATATATTTTTGTTAAATATAGATTGAGATTCTGGAGAATTTATTAAATTTTATAATTTTGAAAAATAAGGATCAACAAAATTAAATCTGAAGTATAATTTTATTTAGAAAATGATTAAAGAAATTTAATTATGACTATATTTACATTATTTAAGTAATGTTGATTGGAATTGAGTAAATTGTTACCTGGATTTTTCCTTTAGGGGCTACAGGAATAACATCTGGCACAACTTCGTGTTGTTCCATGATCTTTTGAGCATTAGTAGCAAAACTGTTTTGTTAATTCTTTCAATTTAATACTTGTATATAATTAAACACATCCAATTTCATTCGCTCAAGCGTAGGAAGTTTAGAGTACTTAAATGAATTATATACCAATATACTAGATTATTCTTATCATTTCGTCAAGTAATTGTAAATTACCATATCCAAGTGATTAGAGCAGTTAGTAGAAATGTTACAACAAGTTTTGAGGGTATATGAGAATTAATTCCGAGATGATAGGGACCAGGATTTGATATCATTAAATATTTTTATTTTAATATATATATATAATAATATAATATATATTTTATATTCAGTGTAGTCAGATTTCAATGCAATTTTGTTTTGTCAATGCTAAAGTACATTTTTATTTATAACACTTAGAAAATAATAAAATAAAATGTTGAAACATTAAAATTTACAGGAACTGTTAATTTTGTTCTTATACCTCAATTTATAAAGGACTTTAGATTCTCCAAAGATAATTTTTTTCAGGTATCCATCCTTTATGGAACGAATTCCTTTACAACACTGCTAGAAGTTATTCAGATAACATAATATATCTCTATAAAACAATGAAACATTAGACCACCACTGTTGACAAGTGTGTTTTATAACAATGACATAAATATGGGTAATATAGCCGATTCGGTGGTGTCAGAAAAAAAACTGTTGTTCCTAAAATAATGTTTGTATTATTCATACATCGAACAATTGGCATTATTAGCAGATAATTTTAGCTTCGATGCGAACCTAAGAAGGTATTAATTTTGCTAAGATGTGTTTTTTTTGTCACTTTTTCTCAGCTCTCACCGAACAGATTTCTTACAACGATACGTCAAAAGATCACAAATCGTATCTAATCACAGACATTACCCTCAAAAATTGAAAAAATTTCCCTCGTTCCCCGTAAATGGGGGATATCTTAAAAAAATTACAAATTTAAAAACAATTAATTTCGACATTTTTTAATTGTTTTTTTTTTAAATAGGCATAACTTTTTTAAAAATACCAAGTAAATACAATTTGTTTTTATATAGATACAAGAGGTACTTACCTATCATTTTGTATATTTTTTTTTATAAATCTAACCCTTTACCTGCCCACAGGGGGAAGTCAAAATGACAACTTTTTCACAAAAAATTAACTTTTAAAAGTTATATATACTATTCTTTATCATGGACTTTATTTTGTCTTCACGGTGAAAATAGTTACCAGATGCTATTTTTGTGTGAAAATTCTTGATTTTGTATTTTACATTTTTAACTTTCAATACAATTTTTTTATGAGAAATAATATTTATATCCCGCTTTTATTCGACATACTTTATCTTAATCAGGATATAAATAAGGATATATCAGGTCATGTAGCTTTTGTAATAATCCACCAATTTTTTAAAATTAAACATTATCTAAAGATTTGCATCGAAGCGTTTTTTATCATAGTGATTTTAATCACTGTCAGATATCATCTATACTGGACCCAATTATGCACTTCACCACTGTGTCGCGACCCCCTTGTGCTGGGTTTTTTTAAAATTATTATTCAATTTAACTTTACGGAAAATGTAATTTTTTATCTTTCATACGAAGCTGAGAATATATTAGTTTTATGTTAATATACAGTATATTTTTTATGTCTGTCCATAAAAAATGAACAGCTATAACTGGACTAATATTAATGATCAAACCTAAGTACAAGTATGGTTGGAAAGGGACTACTCACGCGTATAAAAACTTTTATTCAACTCGAGTTTTGCAAATTCCAAAATGTTTTAAAACTATAATATTAGGTTTGACAATTTCTAAACTACATAAAATGGAAACTTTTGAAGTGTATTATAATTAAAATGACAACATTGTTCAACAATTGTTCTTATATGAGAAATCAGCCGTCAAAGTAAAACAACTGCAATTAAAAAAAAAAAATTATTTTCAATTTTTAAAAATTTTCCAGGACGTCGGTGTTCTTCAAACTTGTACCAAATTAAAGTTAGCATTAAAAAAAAAAAAATTATATGTTTATATTGTCAAAAGAATGTAGAAATAGCTGTACAAAATGTACATATATTTTATGTACATGAAACCTATTTCTTACCTTTAGTTGTATACATTTTTTTAAAAGTTAAACTTATTTCTTTATTATAATAAGAAACCCAACTCTCACTTTTCATTTATTTAATTGAGTCATACCTGCACATTGCTTTCAATGTAACTTTAGATACATATTTTTCTTGAATTTTTAGAATAGTAAGTAATTTAAGTTAAGCAAAAAAAAAAAAAACAAATAAGTTTTATTTATTTTTATTAAGTAAATAATTAAGTGAATTATGATAAAAAAATCACTTAGTATACACGATAAAAAAAATTGAATAAACCACTTATATAATCAAAAGTAGTACATCCTTTATTAAATTTATCAATCATGAAGTTTTTTGTGTGTTTATCAGTAATACTTTATAATGGTGTGTAACTTTATTTTTCAAATAGTAGCATATTTAATGAACTCTCTGATTTATTAAATAATGATTTAATTATGAAAAAGATTTGTTGATAATAACTTTTTATATCAATTTTTCAGAAGTTAACATTATTATACTTGGGTGATTAGAGAAGTATAGCCAATAAATGTTTGTCGATAAAAACAAACCGCTTCACTTCTGACGATTACTAAAAATTTTGATAATTGTTAATATCAATATTGTATATAATTTTTCCGTGCGTAGAACCAATAAATAATTGTATGATTCACCATTCATGTTTATGTTTTAATAATAACTTAAAGATTTTTAAAGTAATATTGTAAATTATAATTAATTATAAAACAATTAATATTATAACATTTAATAAGTTTCTATTTCTGTTGGCGTTGGGATTTCTTCATCTGTTGTTAAATTCTAAATCTAGAATTAAAAAAAAACTTATAAGACTATGAATTTATATTTTAATTAATATTTATTATTTAAAATACCTAAATCAATTATCTCCTCTGGTGTTGGGATAAATGTATTTTCGATGATTGGATTAAATTTAAAACCCAGTTGAAAATACTTTTCTTTAATTACTGTCTTGATATAATCTTTAATTTTTTTAGTTAAAAATTTAAAAAATACTAATCTTACGCCATGGCGAAAAAGAGCTTTGTATTCTTGAATCCATTCATTCCATAAATAATCCTCATCATAAGGTTTAATATCACAATATCTATTAATTTCATATTTTAAATTTCCTATCATACAATAAGAAAATGAATATACAATATCAAATGACGAAGACTTTATAGATTTATCATCACATGGTACTATTGGATCATTCAATTGGTCAATAATATTTCCTATTCTATCTAATAAAGGACTCAATATATAGGGACGTCGGTAAGCTCTTTTAAAATTAGCCCATGGTAAACGATGTAATAAATCTAAAGCGTCTATGGCTCCTTTCATCAATGTTGCTATTGGAATAATTAATGTGGCTACTATGTTTATGAGTTCTTCTATACAAATGCATCCTTTTATTTTGCCATTTTCTTGGTTACTTTTTTTTCTACTAGTTTGTAAGCAGTTGATAATAATTGAAAAAAGATTATTCATAACTTTTGCATATGTACATCCAAGATATATAGTCAAGCCTCGTACCTTTTGCTCGCATTTAGATTTATATGTTGGTGTTTCAATCAGTCTTTTAAGACAATATTTTCTATTCGAATATTCAATAGAGTTAACATCGTTCAAATTTTTCCATCCCGGATACGTTAGTAACTTATCTATTTTATTTAATTTTTTTCTTAATAGCGAATCTGATTTTGTTTGTAAAATCACATAAAATAATAAAAAACTAAACTTGACAAGTTTTAGCGAGAACATTATAAAATATTTAATAATAATTATGATTCAAATTTTCTAAACAAAATTAGATGCACAAAGTATCAAAAGACACGTATTCTACATTTATAAATAATTAGATATAAACTTATGATAAAACATCTGTGATATTATAATAAATTTCTTAAAATTTCATAATTTATTCAAATTTATTCATTAATTAAACATTTGCTATAATAGCAAAAATTCTCATAATGTAGTAATAACACAAATAAAAAAAATTACATAAAAAACACACCATCAATCTTTTATCGAGAATTATTACACTATCAACAATGTGATAACAAATAATAAAACATAATGGAATATATTAATTTCCACGATTCAAATTATAGTTATGAAAATATCTGAATTAATGATTAAAACATTAAAATACTAATAAGAACAAAAAATATTACTAAAAATTACTTTTTTTACTACATTTAACACATTAGAACAAAACTAATATATATATATTAATTTGTTTTATTTTACTATTTAAAAAAATTATAAGAATACCAAATGTATTTTTAGCTTCGATGCGAAGTTGAATAGGTATTAATATTACTAGATATGTATTTTTTTTGTGTCTGTGAACACTTAATCTCAGCTCTCACTGGACCGAATTTGCTAAAAGTACGTCAAAAGATCACAAATTGTATCTAATTGAAAATTTTACCCTTAAAAATTGAAAAAATTTCCCTCGTTTCCCGTAAATGGGGGAAATTTCCAAAAAAACTACAAATCAAAATGTGTTTCAAAATTGTAACTTTTTTACAAAAAATTAACTTTTTCAAGTTAACTTTTGAAAATATTCCGGAAAGACTGACTCTTTTATATATACCTTAAATTAAAGCATATGTAATATACTTTAATTTGAAAAAAAAATGACCTCTGGACTTGTATTTTTACTGAAAACGGACATCAAAGTTAAAGAAAAACGTACGATTTCCGTGAAAAAATTCTCGATTTTATATTTTATATTATTAAATTTATATTTCTATAACTTTCGGAAAAATGTATGGATTAATATTTTTATTTTTTATAAATAATTTTTATATAACCCTTTCATCTGATACAATTTTTTTTGTAAATCGGATCATACCCCTTTATACAAGGGGGGTCAAAACTTTAAACATGCGTATTGTAACTAGGACATTTTCAATTTAATTTTTGAAAGTATTCCGAAAATACTGACACTTTTATATATATATTAAATTAAAGATTATGTAATATACTTTAATTTGAAAAAAAAAAATTTGACTTCTGGATTTGTCTTCATGGTAAAAATGACTACCGTATTCAAAAATATGCTATTTTTGTGTTAAAATTCTGGGTTTTGTATTTTATTTTATTTTAAAATACCTGACAAGGGGAGTACAGAGATTTTCATAAATATTATATAAATCAAATTAATATAGCATAGAAAATTAAAATTATTTAAATTTTTTTGATTTTTTTAAGTCGAGAAAAGTTACTTTGAAATTTGAACTAGCTTAAATTGCCATTTTTTTCTGTCGTCGGAAGGGACGTAGGTTGCCGACTCGATAAAACTTGTGTTTTACGCACTTGGGGTACAAGGTTACAACCCACGTATGGCAAGGAATTTTTTGCATTTTTTTCTTGACGCTATTTAAGTTAGAATAAATTTTCAACTCCTTTGATTTTAATCCCATTTGGATTCAATAACTTCAATAAAGATCAAGGATCCCATCAGTGTTGTCGCCCCTTGCAAGAAGAAATTTTTTATTCATATTAAAATTATTTTACTTTATTTTAGGTTTTAGCTTCGATGCAAAGCTGAGAAGGTATTTTTTTGTGACTATCATTTATTTTCTCTGCTCTAACTTGACCTACATTTTCCAACGATACGTCAAATTATTATAATTAGTTGAAGATATTACCCTCAAAAATTGAAAAAAAAATTCTAATCTATCAATAAAACAGTTACTTGACCCATGTTCTCCATACAGACAATTAAAATCATTCATTTCTAATGTTTTCAAAATATTTATTGACGAATCAAGTTTGATATAATAATTTGAAATGATAGGTTTCAACTACAAAATTAAATAATTTTGCTTTGTAATTTAATAATTTTTTTACTCTATTTGTGTATGCTACTACTAGATCATAATATTCCAAATTTGTTGGTAACATGTTGTTTTATAAATTATTTCTAAAAATATATGATTTTTAGTTTCCCCTGAATTAATAATGAATTTTTACAATTATAATCAAATTTTATAATACGCTCAATTGAGTAAATATTTTTAACAACTTTGTTTTGATTGATTCTTTTAGTTAAAGTAAATCGTTAAAATTAATTAGCTTCTGAATATTTCAATTGTAGAATCTTTTTAAACACCAAAAGTTACTGGGAATTGATTGCTATTATTTCTATTTCAATTATCTATTACGATAAAAATTCACAAAAATATTGAGCTTTTCTGATAAATTTACTATAAATAGTAAATATAAAATTTCCTGACTGCATATTAATCATAACGATATAATTTTTTTAATTCTCATAAAATTTTTTATTTAATGATGTCCATTTCAAACTTGCCAATTGAGCTAAAAGTTATTGTAATAAATTAATTTTTTTTTATTATTAACTTTCACAAAAATCAAATTTTAAGGATTAACAATATAGGTTAAATATGTCATTTTCCTTATTTTTAACATAATAATCAAAATCAGTATTAATATATTTATATAATATATATATATATATACAGGGTGATTTTTTTATCATAACCCACTCAATCACTTACAGAATAATAATAATTTAAACATTTTTTTTTTTATTATCTTTAGTTACACATTATTCTTGAATTTTTAACTATGTAATACTTTTTAAGTTCATCCCTTATGCCTTGGAGGGGGGTCAACTTTGTTTTTTTAAATGGTAACACATATTTTTAATTTAATAAAATGTTTGAGTTTTTAATTTAATAGTAAATGGCATTTGAATTTTTAATATAACTTAATTCGTTTATTAGATATAATCATTTAAAGTTTCAAATTTTTGAATTAATATACAGGTATAATACACAAGGGATTACAAATATAGGTAGCTAATTGGTTTTTTATAACATCGATATTAGCAGGTACACAGCATTGTTATTATCAATTGTAGTAAGGCACATTGTTATGAGTTTATAAATACACTAACTGACAATACAGAAAGTATATCTATTGATAATCATAATTGATAATAAACAATCCGTGACTGAGACAGCAATGTCATAAAAATCCAATTAGCTACCTGTATTTACAATCCCATGTGTATTATACATGTATATTAACTCAAAATTTTGAAACTTTAAATGTTTATATCTAATAAGCTAATAAAGTTATATTAAAAATTCAAATGCCATTTACTATTAAATTAAAAACTCAAACATTTTATTAAATTAAAAATATGTGTTACCATTTAAAAAAACAAAGTTGACCCCCCTCCAAGGCATAAGGGATGAACTTAAAAAGTATTACATAGTTAAAAATTCAAGAATAATGTGTAACTAAAGATAATAAAAAAAAAAAATGTTTAAATTATTATTATTCTGCAAGTAATTGAGTGGGTTATGATAAAAAAATCACTCTGTATATATTATATATTATATTAAACTTTTACGTGTACAATCAACAAATAATTGTATGACTCATCATTTATGTTTATGCTTTAATAATAATTTAATGATATTCAAAGTAATAATGTAATTATAAACAATTAATCTTATAACAACATTTAATAAGTTTCTATTTCTGTTGGCGTTGGAATTTATTCATCTGTTGTTAAATTCTAAATCTAGAATTTAAAAAAAACTTATGACTATGAATTTATATTTTTATTAATATTTATTATTTAAAATACCTAAATCAATTATCTCCTCTGGTGTTGGGATAAATGTCTCTTCGATGATTGGATTAAATTTAAAACCCAGTTGAAAATACTTTTCTTCAATTACTGTCTTGATATAATCTTTAATTTTTATGGTTAAGAATTTGAAAAATACTAATATCACATCCTGGTCAATAATGATTTTATATTCTTGAACCCATTCATTCCATAAATCATTCGTATCATAAGGTACATATTCACAATAGAACTTAGTTTCATTATTTATATCTTCAAATATACCTTTAAAAAATTTATCTATAATACATAATGTCCAATAGTATGTAGATATATCATTACGTGATAAAGATTTTTCGTTTAATTTGTCAAGAATGTTTCCTATTCTATCTAATATAGGACTTATCATATAGGATTGTGTTAGAATAGTAGACCATGGTACATTATGTAATAAATCTAAAGCGACCATGGCTCCTTTCATCAATGTTGATATTGGAATAATTAAAGTGGCTATTATGTTTATCAGTTCTTCTGTACAAATGCATCCATTTATTATATCATTGTTTTGTTTAATTAGTTTTTCACAATTTTGTCGATAGTGGAAAATAATTGAAATAAGATTATACATAACTTTTGCATATGTGCATCCAAGAAATATAGTCAAGGCTCGTATTTTTTGCTCGCCTTTATATTTATGTGTTGGCGATTCTATTAGATTTTGAAGAAATTGTTTTTTACAATAACGTGTTACGTAGCTCACATCGTTTAAATTTTTCCATCCTGGATACTTTAGTAAATTATCCAATTGTTCTATTATTTTTTTTAAAATCGAACGTGCTTTTGTGTGTAAAATCACATAAAATAATAAAAAACTAAACTTGACAAGTTTTAGTGAAACCATTTCACAATAATTAATAACTATTATGTTTGAAATTTTTAAAAAAATATATAATTCGATGAAGTGTCAAAAGATACGTATTTATTCTTTTCTACATTTATAAATAATAAGATAAACATTCATAATAAAACATCTGTTGTATAATAATAAACTTCTTTAAATAGAATCATATTATTTTGTTTTAATAATTGTTTAAAGATTAATTATAAAAAATAAATATAGAAAAAAAATTATTTTATTACAGCATTTAATGAATAGCTTGTATTGTAACAAAAAGGTACTCTTCATTTTTTATACATTTTGAAAATATTTTCTTGAAAATTTACTGCTTGTTATGATGGAGTTAGATGCTTTATTATCTACATAATCGTGTAAAGGTCTGATTTATATTGTTGAAGTATATTATGTATTTATTATGAAGTATGTCTGAAATAAATAGCTACCAAAGGGAATTTTTTCCTCTTAGAATTAACACGTAATTTTTTCTTTAAAATTGAATTCAGTAGAAAATTATTTGAAAAAAAATTGTAATATATAAATAAGAAAAAATTTAATATAAAATAAAAAATTATGAGGGAATTTGGTTGATTGGCAAGCGAATTGTGGGTAACAATTAATTAGAATTCATTACTAACATAATATTAAATTTGTAAAAAATTCAAACTAATGAAAAAAAATATATTTTCTCTAACTATCACAATTATTCATAATACTTTGGAAAAAAATTAATTAAGCTAGTATTACAGGAACATTTAATTATTATAATACTAGATGAAATAGACATTTAAAATATAATATATTATATTATAAATTTAAAATAAAAAAAAGATTGAATGCTTTTTTGATAATTCTACATAATAAAATAATCTTTTAATTAAACTTTTTTTTTTAATATTGTAGTACACTCAAAAGCCTAAAATATATTTTTCTAAAATTAATTTAGATAAATATTGGAACTTAAGACCTGCTTCCCTAATTTTACTATACTAATTAGTAATCCTAGCATAAGGATTTAACATAAACTAAATGGTTTTCATAGTTTTTAGCTTCGATGCGAAGCTGAGAAAGTATTAATTTTACTATGATGTGTTTTTTTTTTTTATGTCTGTTACCACTTTTTCTCAGCTCTCACCGAACGGATTTCTTTCAACGATACGTCAAAAGATCACAAATCGTATTTAATCAAAGACATTACCCTCAAAAATTGAAAAAATGTCCCTCGTTCCCCGCAAATGGGGAAGATATCCAAAAAAATTACAAATTTAAAAATCGGTACATTTAAGGATGTTCATAACTGAAGGGCATAATAATATTTAATTCTCTTATAAAACGCATTTTGTATTTAAATAAATAAAATTACGCTTCTTCACTCTCTTCGGCACATCTAAGGCTGTACAGTAATGAAGGACACAATAAAATTAAAAACCTTTACGTTTTCTAATTTTTGAATAAAGTAAAAAATATATTATTAAAATTCTATGAAGATATTTGGGTAAAAATAAATAAATAAGACTTGTTGTGGATAAAATATTAATAAATCATCTAAAAATAATGTTTACCATTTAACATAACAAATAAAAAACTAAGTCATAGAGACAATATATTTACTTTTACTGACGCAGATACTATGTAGGAAAATGTCGACCAAGAATATCAACAATTTTTTCCATACATAAAAATCAACAAAAAAATGTAAGAAAAATGGCCTTTTTATAGTTTTGGGGGAGTAAACCAGCGTTCTCTAGTGAAATTCCTGAGATGTATCATTATTTGTGATTGGTTACTTGTGGTAGAAGCCTTGGTGTGGGCGTTGTTAATGAATTGCAAGGAACTGGTTTACAACATGTGTTAAAAATGGTTATTTTGAATACCCTAAAAGAAAGCATTCCTTAGATGATTATAAATATGTGATATTTAGTACTTATGTTAATAATTATACTACATGTTGTTATACCAAAATAAACCAGAGATAATTATCATTATTGTAGTGTACAATAATTAGATTATGAAACTAATTAAATTAGTTTATGGGGATGTTTCATTAAGATTTTGTAACTTTTTACTGATTCAAACGTTTTAAAGATGGTCGGATATTCATTAAAAATGACAATCGTCCTGTGCAACCATCAACATCGAAAACAACTATACTATTACTCTTGTACAAAAAAAAAAAAAAATTAGAAACGACTGACGATTGACTGTTTGAGAAGTAGCCTATGAAATTGGTATATCAATTGGTACTTGTCATTCAAATGTAACAACATTAAATAAATAAAAATATAAAAAATAGAACTTTTTCAACTTAACTTTTGAAAGTGTTCCGGAAATACTGTGTCCTTTAAACTATATAAAATTAAAGCTTATTTTATGTACTATAAAATAAAATAAAAAAATTTGTCCCGATATCTTATCTACTATGTGCAAATTGCTGTCAAAATTTAAAAAAAAATGTAATATTTGCAATAAAAATCACCTTCTATAAGGATGTTTTTTGTACTTAAAACTGCCATAACTTTTTTATATTTTTTAGAATATTTTAATGATTCAATCATCATGAACCACATAATTAATCAACAAATAAAAACAATATTAATAATAATATATTTATTGATTTCTTTTAGTTCTATGTTAACATATTTATATGATAATATACACAATGAACTAGCTTATTTAATTGATAATGATTTAATTAAGAAAGTGACTTGTCTATTAAAACTTTTTGGATCAATATTTTAAAAGTTATTAACGAGTCAACCTAATCGGTAGGAGAAATAAGGCTAAGAAATATTTAATGATAAAAATGGTTTCACTTGCATCTCATCTTTAGACATCACTCTAGAATATTAATTAAAAAATTATCAAAAATTCATCCAGAATGACTCGTTGGTATTAACATTTGGACAACATTTGTTTTCATTTAAAAAAATAAAGTTGACATAATCTTTAAAGGTTCTAACGTTCCGAAATTTTATAAAAATTTAAGAAAACACATTACTTCTTAATAATTATTGTATTTTGTAATTATTACTGACAATTTTATATAGCAAATTATTGATTGGTTTAATTTATTTTTAATCATGTCGTACTTTTAAAAAATGCAGATATTCTGGAACATTTTCAAAATTTGATATGAAAAATTATGTTGAGTATATGAATATAATTGTGTTCAAATCTTTCCTGTTATTAAGTTTTTGGTTAGGTTTTCAAAAAAAAGTATTTTAATAAATAATTGTTTTATGTAGTATTAAAATATTTGGTTAGGTCCATACATATTTAAAAGTGATAGTTGTTTTTTTTTCAATTTTTAAGGGTAAAGTCTTTAACAAGCATAAAAATATGCGTATAATATTACTTAAATTTAGAAATTAGCATAATTAATAATTTTGCTAATATAGTTTAATTATATTTTATTATAGCTAAGTTTTTTGTAAATAAAATATTCAATTATTTGTTATAAACATCATTAAATAACTAAGAAATACTAATAACAGTTTCAACATTTATATTATTTCTTTTATTCGAGCTATTATTTCAGTATAAAAAAACTAAATATTTTAATCAAAAAGACAATTTACTTTACCAGTGTTTTGTATAAAAAAACAAATAAAATAAAAATAGTTTAAATACGTCACTAATTTTTAATAATTTAAAACATTAAAAAAATAAGGTTTCTTAGTTTGATTTTTTGTATTCTAACATTTTATCAATTTTTTCTTGAGGAATTCCTAATTTTTTGTATACTACTATGGCATAATTATCAAATTGTGCTTCATAAAAATTACCTCCAATAGGATATCCTAAGTTATTTTTTTGAGCAAACCTTTGGATTGAAAATTTTTCACGCCCCTTAAATGAGCTGAAATATAAGTGTAACAGTTGTATATGTTTAATATTTAATTATAAAGTAATATATTAGTATTAATTATTCTTCAAATATTACTTGTTAGTGATAGAAGTTTCATCAAATTTCAATTTTGAAGGTTGTTTATAAACGAGAAATACATATCTATGAAGTCCTGGAAAGTATATCATATAAATTTGTCATTAATTTGTTACCTTAATAATTAAAAAAAATTATAATAATGACTTATAATGATATCTGTTGGAAGTCTACCACCTTTTCATCATAACTATTTCACTGTTTAACATCGATGATTGAGAGTTCTTAACACTTTATAGCAATTAATTATTTTGCATTATAACTTAGAAGATTTGGATTTTCTTCCAACGATAAAGTTTGTGTTGGATCGGTCATCATATTGCAACTCTATTAAGTCTATTAGTCCAAATTAATAATCATAGGCATGAGTACAGGGACAACAAAATCATCTCAAAAAATTTGCTCTACCCTATTGGTTAAATTTCATTAAATTGGGCTAGTTATTAACGAAAAACTATTTTACTTTATGTACTTTACTGTATCTTATAACCAATATTTATTCTTAGATAATTAGCGCATAATTATATATAGTAAAATGACTACAGGTTGTTTGAACTTGATAAACTTATACCTTAAATAATTTAATATTAGATAATATTTCAAAACGTTAGCGTCATTATTATTCTACAACTTTCATTAATTAAAATTGAATTTTATTACCAGCGTAGAGTTATTATACCTGTAAAAATAACGTTAAAATTTTCACTTTTACTACACTTTAGACAAGTGTGTCTTTTACCATAAATGCAATAAAAAATATTTTTTTCAGCTATAATTTTTTCCCTAAAATGAATGCGTTACCTGTAGATGGAGGAGGTGCTGAACCAACGTATTCAGCAAGAACGTCACCTTTGTTAATATCACTTCCTGGTATATTGGTCACAAGCCAATGCAAGAACTCTCTATTGGTTGGTTCTTTGCGACTTGGGGCATCCGGATCTATATAAATAAAACAAATCCAATATGTTATAAAACAATTGTTTAATAGCATATTATTCAATTATTTTTATTATATATTATACAACAACAATTATTTGTTATTGTAAACAGAACTTTTGTATATAAAATAAAATAATCATTTTGATCTTTCAATTCGTATTTTAAATTAACATTCTTTGCTATAATTGAGGTACGGAATTGCATTCATTTACATATATATTTTTTTAAGTCACATTGGGTTCCAACTTTTTGCATCTTTGTCGTAGTATAATAAAGTAAACAAGGCATAATTTCATCTTAGAGAAAACTTCCCCAATGTCTCCCAAAACTAAAATTTTTATAATATTTTATTAGTTTAATATTTTGTAACCAAGAGTCTAACAGTCTAAAAGAATTGAACATTATATCTTATACTTATTATAACTATATATTGAACTTCTATAAATAACCGTGACAAATTTTTACTATTGACGAATGGTACTTATTAATGGAAAATGTAGGGAGTAGGGTCCTTTTAAATTCATGTTTAATCTGATTTTTAATAATTAATGATTTTTTTCTAAAGTTGTAATTTTATGAAATTGAAATAACTTTTAGTAAAAAAAAAAAAAAATTGCTTGAAAATTAAGAATCTTTGTATGTTAGTAATTTTCTACGCATTAAAAGCAATGGAATCTGAATTATTTAACAGCAGGTTAGTTATTTTAGATATTTGAACATAAAATTTGTACTATTTTGACAAACAGATTATTTTCATGGAAATAATTGGTGGTATAATAATTTGAATAATTATTATTTATTTAATAAAACTAAAACTATTTCTATTTTTATAATTAACTCTCTGTAACAACGAACCTCGCTCTCCATTAATTATAGAAAAAATATAATACCAACTAAACAAAGAGTAAAGAATGTATCAGGACTGGCATCCCATTCTACTTTTGGCGAATCTTTCACTTGAGTCGGAGTAAGTTCGTTACCTAAATCTGCTTTAACACCACTTGTATAAGTAACCTATTTTAAATAACCATTTTTTATTAGAAATTTTAAAATGGAAAGTATATTTAATAATAATTCTCACTTCTGTTTTATTTTTTGGTGCGTTAGTTAAAACATCCGGTACAATTTTATTGCTTTGAAAAATTTCAGCCAAATATGCATTGGTTGAAGAGTAACTAAATACGTTCAACACCTATACAATTTTAATATTAACTTAAAATAAAATAATATTGGTTGATGTTTAAATATTTAGTTTTTTAATGTACTATACATAAAAAAACCCTTACCAAAATAAAATTTATACAATTTGAAAAAGTCATTGCTATGCGTGTCTTCTTACAAAGTTAAGTTACTTGTGGTGAAAATTTACAGTGGCGTCCCATTTAAATAGAGATAACGTTACTTTGAGCTAAACAAGTAGATAGAGTAACATGGTTACTAACCACAATGATTATATACAATATAATATACGTCTATTGTGAGGTTTTTTTTTGTATAGTTATAGTGAATTTTGTTATTTTTAAATAGCTCTATTTGTTAATAACTTTTTTCATCCAAAACCAGTCATAAATCACTAATGACACACATTTCAACTAGAAAATAAAAATAAATAATGTAATTCATTTATAATTCAAGAGATTTGAAGAATTGAAACTTTTAACAATTTTGAAGTAAAAGAACTAAAATTAAAATTTATATTGTCTAACAAAAATTTGGTAGTCTTTGAAATTCACTCATGTCTTGATTTAAAATAAGTATTTTATTTTTAATAATAGGCTAATTATTTTGTATATAGATATCTGATAACTAATTAATATAATATTCACAACATTCATTACGAAGAATATTAAATACAGAATGTTATATAGAATGTTCAGTAAATAAGAAAACAAGTATCTATTGTTCTCATTGTTCATAACAATTGATCTGTTTTCTTAATTGCTGATCACTCTACCTACCAAAATTTATTTTTATGATGATATAATTATATCAACTATAATATCTTTGTCATTGTTTGGATGAATTTGTTTTTTAATCTTCTAAATTTAAGAGTGACAGGTTTAAATACATGTTTTTCATTTAGTTGATATTAACAATTAAAAATGTATGCTTGCAATTAGTTATTTAAATAATTTAACTTCCTTAAAAATGTATTCTATAAAAATGAATAAGAGTACTTTAATTAATTTGAAATATTTGTACAATTAAAAAAAATTGTAAGTAATTCAAAGTATTTAGGGGAATATTAATTGTAATTAATATTTTTATTATCCTCATGAATTACTTTCAATACAAAATTAAAAATGAATAATGTTTAAATAAATGTAAAACTTATGGAATCAGTATTTTGGAAGTTTTTGCGTTGTTATGACTGTTATTAAACATTTTGACGTCCAACCACCCCCTTTCGAATTGGAAGCAATTGAATCATAATCGTTTTGTGTCTTGTTTTTGCACATCAAGTTTATTTTATATGCTCTTCCTAAGAAAAAAGTATAACTCCACCCGAATACAGTTTACGATCATGTTGCTTCATAAAGTAAAGCCATAAAAATTACTTAAATATGAAGTATGTACATAGTGAAGTCAAGTGTTTTAAACTCTGAAAATGCAAAAAGAATTATTATTACATTGAAATAATTTATATACCCCCGATAATATTATAAAAAGATATTCAACTTCAAAAAGAAAAATTGTAAATTGTAAAAACGAGTGGTAAAAAATTTAACTCCCAGCGAACTTTTTAAAATAAAATGGATTTTTTTTTGTTATGTCTCAAAAAAGTTTTTTGAACATAATATAATAATACAGTATATCTCAATTAATAAAAAAAATATATCAAAAAATAAAACTAGAAAGAAAAACAAAGAATTTTGATTTTAATTTTATTTGAAAAATAATTTAGTAGGTGAATCCTGAATAATATAAAATTATTTAAGACTCCCATTATTCTATAAATAATATACATACAATTTATACATCAATTCGTAATAATTGAAGGACATTTTCAGTAAGAATTATTATAGTTATCATACATTTAAAATTATACGCTAATGTAATTAATTACGGATGTGGTAAAAGGATAAGAAAGAATAATTAATAATTTGATTACATATTATATTAAATCATGTTTCCAATTATTTTATCATTAATAGCAAAAATATATTTTATTGGTAAAAGAAAGAAAAATAATATTAAAATTTGTATACTTGCGTTTATTAATTATTTGATTAACTTGAATAAAAACCAAATAAATANAAAAATATATTTTATTGGTAAAAGAAAGAAAAATAATATTAAAATTTGTATACTTGCGTTTATTAATTATTTGATTAACTTGAATAAAAACCAAATAAATACCGAAACTATAAATTTTTAATAGATAATTTATAAAAAAATGAATTCTTACTGAACGTATAATAAATGTATTAAATATAAGTTATTTAATTGATCATAAAATGTAAATATAACAAAGTATAGTCTAGTTAAGGTACTTTGTTACAATAATTGGTTCTTTAAAAAATCATATCTAAAATTTGTTTTTGTAATGATACATTAATTGAAAATTGTTTTAATAACTTCATCCTATCTATGTTGATTAAACTTTGATAACTAATAAAATAATTAAATGAAATACGTACATTTTTTACTTTATATTAATTAGAATGCACGCAAGACATTGAATATATTTAGTTATTTATGTACAATTGATAACAGCTTTATGAAGATTATAATAAAATAACTAAAATTAATATTATAAAAACGGTAGCGCAGTAAAGTGGGGAACGTGGCATAGTGTAAAAATATATCTGAAAGTGATTAAAATCGCTACAATAAGAAACGCTTTGATACAAATCTGAACATAATGTAATATTTTAAGAAATTGGTGGATTCTTCCAAAAGCAACATCAACTCCTATTTCCTTATTTATATCCTGATTAGTAGTTCTTTGATTTATAAGTTCAATATATAAATAAATACTAAGTAATTTATTGTTTTAATTATAGTAATTAATCTTAGAATGATATTGATATTTAATAATTTAATATTGTAAATTTTACGGAGAAATTATAAAAAATTATTAAGTTGTTATATATTTTGTTACTTCTATGGCATATTGCATACAAATTGAAGCAATAATTTTCAGAAAATAAGTTTTTGTTAATTATGAATAAATACACTCGTCTAAAAAGAATTTATATCAATGAGAAAAATATACTTTTTTTTATCATTTTTTTTTAATATTCGTTTCTACTAATTAGTAAAGATGTATTTAAAATTAAAGATGATAAAAAAATATATAATTTCTGAATTAACTACAGTGCAAAATTGGTTTAAAAAAACGGTAGCACAGTGGGGTCGAGGTACAGTGGGGTCGAGGTACAGTGTGGACGAGGCATAGATGGGACAAGTATAGATGATATCTGACAGTGATTAAAATCACTATCATAAGAAACGCTTCGATGCAAATCTGTAGATAGTGTTTCCTTTAGAGAAATTGGTGAAATATTTTAAAAGCAACATGAACTCTTATTTCTTTAATTATATCCTGATTAGTAGTTCTTTGATTTTAAAATATAATATATGAATAAATACTAATTATAGTTTTTAAATTTAGTATGAAATTGTGAGGCCAGCTATGATGTATGGTTAATAGTGTTGGGCGGTTGATAAGAAAGTAGAGCAGAGAATAAGTGTAGCAGAGATGAGAATGCTTAGTTGGATGAGTGGAGTGACTAGAGAAGATAGGATAAGGAACGAGCATATAAGAGGAAGTATAGGTGTTGCGTCAATCGTGGATAAGATGACAGAAAATAGACTTAGATTGTTTAGTCATGGTATGAGGAAAGAAGAATCGAAAGCTGTAAGAACAGTTATAGAAATGAATGTTGAAGGAAGAAGAGATAGAGGAAGACCAAAAAAGAGATGGAGGGATGCTATTGAATGCGATTTGAGGACAGCTGATGTGAGCGTAGAAGATGTGGGAGATCGTGTCAAGTGGAATCTTAGGATAAGGGTGCCCGACCCCAAGTAGTTGGGATTAAGGCAAAGAAAAAGAAAAATATTACCAGATATTCCGGTGGCAATTGACATAATATGATTGTTATTTCGGAATGTACAATTTAGCGTTTAGTTGGGTTTAAATAATATAGCGTCAAATCAATTACCTACTCTATCGGTTGTATCTCAATATACACTACACTTTAATGATACAATAAATAAATAAACTCACACATACACACATATGCATTTATAACATTGTGTCTAATGTAAGTATAACATGATAAAAAGTAACCGTAAAATGAAAAAAATGGAATATAAATTTTATTACTCATATTAAATGTAATGTAACTCGAAAAATATTTGTTTAAATGAAAAAATATAAGATTATATTTTTATTTATAATTGTCTTTTAAACAACTTTTGTGCGAAACTTTTTTTTGTAAGTTAAATATTTTTTTTTGAGAAAATTAAGAAAGCTCATATTTTTGAACTTTTGCGAGGATTTAAAAAAAAAGCTCAATTCCAATCTTGAGGACTATTAGTATGTCATTATACATATTTTAATTCAACTTTTAAAAAAACAAAATTTTTTCCGCAATTTTTCCTTTGTTGACTGGCCTAGATGTCAATTTTAAACTTGTAATTGAGCTAAAAGTTATGGTAATATATTCAATTTATTTTACTATAAACTTTCATAAATCTTTATCAAAAATTTTTCATCAACTTTAAAGAACCAAAAAAATAGGTTAAAATTGAAAATTTGGACTGATTATTTTTAACATATTAAAAATCAAATCAGTAATAATTTGAAAACAAATTTTTTTTTCTTTTAATTATTATTTTATATATATAATTAGTAATAATATAAAAAATTAGAAGTGATAGAAATAGTCTACTTGCAGATTTGAAAACAACGCGAAAAGTTGATTTAGAAAAGTATATTTTTGCTTCTGATGAAAGTTCCTTGTAGTCCAGTGCATTTTTTTATAGTAACAAACAGTTTTTATTGAAAATTATTGTATCAAGCCCTTTAAATTTTTATACACGTAAAAGTAAAGCAAAATATAACTTCTTTATTATTTTTATAATTTCTCCGTTTAAATTACAATATTAAATATCAATTTCATACTAAATTTAATAATTATAATTAGTATATATTCAAATATTATATTTTAAAATCAAAGAACTACTAATCATGATATAATTAAAGAAATAAGAGTTGATGTTGCTTTTGGAATAATCCACCAATTGCCTAATTAAAACAAAAAAAAAAAAAGTTTGTTGGGAATTTTTTCTGCTATTCTGCAAAATTACTCCTTCGTTGACTAGAATGAATCATTAAATAGAAAATTTTATGAGAATTAAAACAATGTTATTTTTAAGATTAATATGCAGTCAGAAAGTTTTATAATTATTATTTATTGTAAATTTATCAGAAAAACTCATTATTTTTTGCATTTTTATCGTAATAGAACACTTAAATAGAAATCATAGTAATCATTTCTAAGTAATTTTTGATATTTAAAAAGATTCTACTATTGAAATATCCAGAACTGAATT